GCATACCGATATGATATTGAATTACTTTGAGAGGAAGTCCATCCTTGGAAATCTTATTTTAAAATTTGATATTTAATTTATAAAAATATATATTTATAGCGATCAATCCGAAACGGTACACAAAAAATTTCAATATCCGGTACATACCGTTTCAGTAGCAAAACCAGTATATATACCAGTACGGTATTAACTACTTTGAGTACAATACAAATGGCTTCTTTTTTTCAAGTCAATATTAGGAATAAATAAGAACATATTAATTTTATAAAAATTTTTCATTATAGAAACGAATATTTTTGTTATTAATAAAGGTTATTACCTTTTTAAAATCTTTAATTAATGATATGATTTTTATAATATCATTAATTAAGATTATTATTTTTTAAAAATTTTAATTAAAGATATGATTTTTTATATTCACTTAATTCTTTTTTTTTTTTAAATACAAAGTTTATATTTTTAGTTACAAATTTTTTAAAAGTGGTAATGTTGATTGGTAAAAGAAAAAGATCATATTCTTTAAGTAGAAAATACTTAAAAGGTTATATATTTATTTGTACCAAGTTTTCATTTGAGTTAAATGATCGAACTTTGGGGGCTTAATCCTCTATTTTACCTTTTTAATTTATAGATTTCAACGTTATTAGTCCCAATTAAAAAATTGAAGGGCATTAACTCTTTAACAATATAATTTAAAGAAATTTTCTTTTATTTAACCGAATTTAAAGGCACATTATTAATTAAATATTATTTCTATTTTAGTGAGTAGCATATCAATATTTTTATTATACGCGTCATGTCACTGTAGCAATCCGTAAAAAATTCTCTTCCAGATCCCGTTAGTATAGCGGTTTTAAGGTAACGATTAGTGGTTTTACCTAAACCGCTAAATATAGGTGTTTGGTAAATTTATATATTTCGAAACCGCTACAATTAAAATGTTTGGTAAAATTTTTATTTAGCGGTTTGAAACTAGCGGATAGCGGTTTGAAACTAGCGGATAGCGGTTAGGGTCAAAATCGCTAGCGGATTGAAAAAGCTAGTTTATGTAACTTTTTGTACCAAACCGCTAGTGAATTAGAATTTTTTAATTTTATTGACAAATTTATCCATTTTAATTTTTTAAATTAAAGAAATACACTTTAAAACTCAACTTATAATTATTAAACTGTGAAGTTCAAATGTATCAACATCTCGTGTATTTGCTAAGCTTTGTATGCAAAGTTTAGATTAAAAGTATCAAAAATGGCAAATTGACTTTTATAAAATGAATTTGCATTTCCCAAATT